CGCAGCCCCCAACTCTTGCCGCTCTTCCGTGTCGGGTTGTGACGAGGGGTGAGGGGACACGGATTGAAGATCCCTCACACCAAGATCGTGCAGGGCGGGGACACATGTCCCTAAATCCCATCTCGTCTCAGAGTTTGCCCGTTTTATTTATTTATTTATTTAGGGTAGGTCTGGGCCCTCCCGTCGGGCTTTTCCCTCTTCACGCCGGAATCAAAAAAAGAAAATTTCCGCCGAAATCACGATGTCAACCCTCCCCAAGTGGGTGATCTGGTGCTTGTAGGGCTTGAGAGTGGCCTGTCATGTCTCAGGAAGGACTGTGGTTGCAGGAGAGTACCACCAACCATCACTTTAGTTGGTATAGTACCCCACCTTCACCCGTCCCATGATTTCTTTTTTAGTTCCCCATAAGTAGGGTAGGTAGGTAACACACCAGTGAGGGAGGGCGAGACGATCGAGGGGTCCCGTACCATGCGGAATCGACCCTATCCGGTGCTCAAGTGCTCAGGTAGGTAGGTAGGTAGGTAGGTAGGTAGCACCGCAGGGGCCGGTCGGGGTTTTTGCAGAATTTCAGCATTTCAGCATGGCCGCCCAAGCAAAAATAAAATACTCGTCGCCCTGAATGGTTGCCCAGGTTGTGAGGGACACGATCCCGGCGTGAACACGCCGATCTGACAAAATCCCGAGTGCCTACCGCACGCGCCGCGTCGCGGCGCGTGCGGTGGGCTTTGTTTGAAGTTAAAAGTCGAATCAGAGCGCCGTCGGCGCTGTCCCTCGTTTTCCTCCCACGTACCGCCCGTCCGGCACCGCTCCGGGACGCACGCCGGCGAAGCACCCCTCAAGCTGCTGTACGGCCCCGGCATCGCCTCCCCTGTGGCTTAGCTAGACTGAGAGATATTGTGCAAAAGGTTGGTCTCTACAATGTATATGCTGACACTTTACCTCCCAGAGCTCGTTCCGGTCCGCCACGGCCATCCTCGGCCTCGGAGGGCCCCCGGCCGCGGCGCGGGTGCGGCGGCGTCACAAATCCGACCACAGAGCACCGGGACGCGGTCGGGCGATCCGAGGCCCGATCAGGCGTATGCATTGCCCATCCAGGGCTATCACCTGGACCTATCAGCAGGCGCCTGCGGCGCCGTGGCACGAGGTGTTGTTCACACCTGTCCAACCATTCGTGCCCACATTCGTGCCCACCACAGTACGCGGACGGCCAGGGCCGTCAATGCCGAAGCGCTCTCGCGAGGACCGGCTGTGGGGCTGGCTGGTGCCCCACAACCCGCTGTGCGGCGGCCCGGCCCCTCTCCGCGGGCGAACCGTCATCATCGGCCGAGAGGGCGACGTGCGAGCACCGTGCAACCCGCATCTCTCGAGGCGCCAAATCCGGCTCGAGCGAGAGGATGACGGCAGGGTCTACGCGACGCACCTCTCCGAGACGAACCACACCTGGCTCAACTGCAAAAAAATGGAGCGTGGTCAGCGGATCCTCGTCGAGCCGTGTGAGGGCAACAAGCCACATCAGCTGAGAGGCGAGGCGCCGGACGCGCCACTCCTCTTCGTCAGCGTCGTGCACGCCTGCGCGGCGCGCGCAATGCTCGAGGATAAGCGGCTCGAGGGCTGGTGCGGCTGGTCGCTCCGCCTCGAGCCGGAGAGAGACCGCAGCGCTGCGGCGGCGGCTTCCGTGCCTCTGGCCGTCGCGCCGTCTCTGGCGGCGGCGGCGGCGGTGGCGCCGGCAGCGGCTCCGGCGGCGGCAGCGATGGTAGTCCACGAGGAGGTGCGCACGCCCGCCGCTCCGCCGACGGCGGTGCTCTGCCCCGAGGAGCCGGTCACGAAGGAGACCATCTTTCGCGGTGTG